TGGTGCTACTTTGCCTTATGGTCAATGCAGTAAGTGACTGTATTATCATCAATAATGGTAAGTTCGTAACATATAAAAACATAAAAAACTAAATCTTATCTATGAAGCGTTCTGCCTTTATGCTTGTTTTTTGTTTGTTTGCTTGTTACTTATGTCCAGCTAAAGTCTAAAGTCCAGCATCTTCACATTGGCTTAGTCTTCACTAGTGCGATTGGTTGACTTTTGTCCTGGGAGCGCTGTACAAATGTGGCGGTGCTATTGACACATGGTCAGGGTCAGTATGCGATATCTAGTGTATATATCTATGGGTTTACTCTAAAGAAAAGTGCAAATAGAAACAAACATGACTATGCATGCAAAATATTACACTAAGACCCTCAGCCTTTCAAAAATCCTTCATGAAAAAATATTCCAAAACTAAATATTTCACAAAAACACATATTTGCCACATGAATTTCCGGCACAGGGATTTTGTTTGTTTGTTTGTTTGTTGGTATGCTGATTGTCAGTTAGGAGAAGGCCCTTTCTCTTTGGCCATGAAGCTTTTTTTTTTGATGCTGATGATGATGTGAAGTTAAATATTTGGCAGCAAAATATGTAATATCCTGCATCTACCAGCCCTTTAACAGCTAAACTAATGAATCACTCTGGTCCACAACACGGTCATTGCAGGGGTTGGAGATTGACATGAAAACATTACAAAAATTATTCCATCCAATGACTCCCACTTATGTCAAATCTACTTTCACCTTCTACAAAAAATACAGAAATGAGCCCAAAGTATACTTCGTTTTTATGCATAAATGACATAGTGTCTACACTGGACACAAGTGGAGCAATGTGACTGGACTGAAGACAATAAAGCTCATTATAGTATTGTCTACACTAGAAAGATTCATCCTGGTCTAGTGTATGTGCATGTTTTATCTTAAAGTTATAAGAGGTAAAATATCTTGGTATTTTTGTAAACTACAGTTTGTTTTAATCCCTTCACACAAGCACTCAACGACACAGCTGTCTTTTGCCAGCTACAATAGTTTGTTTTTGTTCTTTTTTGTCCTCTATTTCTTTTCTGACAATCTGGTTCAGTATTGACACCTTGTGGATAAGAAATCTTTGTACCTGCATTTTGAGTAACAATCGGGGTTTGCTCCATATTTTAACCTGTTTAAAGGAATAATTCACCCAAAAATGAAAATTACCCCATAATGTACTCATGCTCAATTCATCTTCAGAGTATATGACTTTCTTCTCTCAGACAAACACAGCCAGAAGAGTATTTGAAAACAAATCCCAGGCTTTTCTATGTTGGATAATAGTGTTGGATATAGTGGACCTTTTTTTAGCCTGCCAAAATGTCACAAGTGCATAAATCTATCATTAAACAAATCCATAGGCTGCTATGGGGTTAATGTATATCTCATGAAGCTGATCAATGTGTTTTTGTAACAATATAATTAAAGAGCCCATATTATGGGTTTTTGAAAATTCCCCTCCATGTAGTGTGTAACACAGCTCTAAGTGAAGTGAAGTATCCAGCTAAGGCTTAAATCTGTTAGTGTACAGTGTTTAAAACTGTTGATTCATCTATAAAAGAGTCGACTCATAGTGCTTCAAACGAGTCGCCTTGATACCGATTCATTAGGTGTTTCGCCATGACGTACGAACGAAACCAAGTTATTCACGTGCACGCGCAAACCCGGGAGATTTCAAACCTGAGGCCCCGCCCTCTGACGCAGAAACCCAGACACACACACACACCCACCCACAAACACACGCACACAAACATGCCGGTCGATTGAAGTCACACTGCAGATGGACATTATCGATTCTCTACCCAGAGATGAAACCTCAGCATTATAACCAAGCAGTTGGAAACTTCTGGAAACTACATGCTACAAAGAATACTTCATCTGCGTTTGTTAAAGTAAGGATCAGTAAAGAGTAACTTACTAATGGACGTCAGGATGAGTTTCTTCCTCCATTTCTCAAGTGTAAGTACGTGCGATTAAAGTTGCCTCGTTGACTCTAGCTTGCAAATGTATTTAGTTGTGATTTGTTACTTGTAACCGAGTGTACTGTATCAGGTTAACTGGCTATATTCTCTTATCGCGTGCAAAGTCACGTTAAAAACGCGACGCGTGCTGTTTGTTTACAGAGCTCCGTGGTAGAGGTCTGCATTCCCGCGGCTGTCCCCGCGCCAGATTTCTGCGGCGCAGGAATAAATTTCAGAATCAATCGCGGGAGCGGTCGGTAACAGGTTTAATTTGGGACGGGAGCGGGCTTTCTAGCAATATCGTGGATATTGCTATGCGAATGAGACAGAGCTTTGCCTGCCTGTGTGTCTGCTTGGCGCTTGTGTGTATGTGTTAGTGCGCGCGTATGAGAGAGAGAGAGAGAGAGAGCTCTGTCTGGCTGTCTCTGGACTGTTTAGCTGAGTGATTTTCGGTTATGTTCTCCCCCGCTCTTTAGCGGGATCGGGCGCGGCGGGCAGAAAACGGGGCGGTTCGGGCACCGGGACAAGAAATTCTAAATATAAGCGGGAGCGGTCGGGTTCAGGCTAAAACCTGGCGGGTGCGGGCGGAAGCGGGATCGTTGTCGTCCAGAGGTGTGTGTGTGTTTGTGTGTGTGTGTGTGTGTGTGTGGCAGCTAAAATCCACGCCTACACTATGGAGCGTGTATGAACTGTGATTACTTTTATATTGCTGATTAGCTATTGGGCATTTCATTCTCTGACTGAAGGCAGTCGACCAATCGTGACAAACTGTCATCGGTCCAATCAGCGCAGATTAGCTTCGCGCTAAGGAGGGGTTTGGGAACAAATGAATCACTGGACGATTCATACAGGAGTCGCTGGGATAATTAGGTAAAAATAAATGCAGATTATAAGACCATGAAAGTGTTTTTTGACTTTGCATGCATATTAGACTGTTGTTGGAGACCCTTACAACCAACATATGACCCTATTTCATGTATAATATGGGCTCTTTAAAAAAAATTTAATTCTAAGCTAAAATCACTGACTTCTGAAGATAACAAACTACTGAACTTCTCGACAAGTTCACAGTCAGGATTTGTGCGCTTTTGGAAGCTTCAAAAAAGTGCAACTACCCAAATCAGAAATTTAAATCCGGGAAAGTATTTAAAGATTTTCATCTGAAAAAAGAAAGTCATATACACTGAAGATGGCTCGAGGGTGAGAAAATCTTGGGGTTAATTTAAAGATCTATACCAGAGATGCCCACAGTAAGACCCAAGGGCCAAAGTTGGCACATGGTAAGCTTTGATCTGCCCTGCCATCCCATCTGAACAGAAAGGGAGAATGATGGGGAGGTGGTTGGGGCGAATGCTTTTGACAGAGATCGTCATTTAAATTTAACGAAACCTTTTGTTTCTTTGTTTTATTGCTGAGCTACAAAAAAAGTAAACAAATTAAATCTTGTAAATAAATCAGACTTTAAAATTTAAATACTGTCACTTGACAGATAGAGGACAATGCACAAGACATGTGAGAGCAAATCAAGGCAAAGGCAAGAGCAGCTCGAATTCAGCATTGAACTGCATGGTGTTACTGTATAAATGGGATTTTTTATGTCTTTACTGTAATACGTTCATTATAAAATGTTCAAAATAATACTGCATTAGTTGAAAGCAACATTTACTGGTTATTTTTAAATGTTACCAAATTAATTAGTAAATTACCCATGGCAAATTTAATATATATTCTTTAATTTATATTCGGCCCACAGTCCTCAAACAAGTTTGCTTTTTAGCCCTTTATAGGAAAAACTTTGGGCACCCCTGATCTATACTATAGAATTATATAGAACATTATATATAGATCAGTGGGTAATTGAATTTTTTGGGTAAACTATTCCTTTAAGAGAGTTGTTCTGACAAAATATCAATTAGGTTATTCCTTCATGTTAGGTTTAGCTCCAATTATGTTTAGCTCCAGGTTAAACCACAATCTATTCTGGAATGCATTAGCAAATAAAACACTGCTAGCTTTCTCACAGTGTAAAACACATCATATTGTACATGGAGATAAAGCCTGGTTTGTTGGTCTGTTCTGTCAGATAGCTTTCCAAGCGAAACACTCCAGAATTAATTTTCAAGTGGGCTGAGACCACCTTTTTAGTCCATATTCAAAATCAATTGCCATGTTCAAAGGTTTGCCAACTATGTCAATATGAAATAAGGGACAAAAGTTATGAACCGATCTTGTTTTTTCATGGCTGATTCCGCTTATTTTTTACAAGCAAATTGGCTAATTCTGACATAGAATATATTTTTTCAAATTTTTTCATCCACTGCACTTTCATCCATACAAAGAATTCTGCATTCATTAGCTTGAACATGTAGTGATTTAAATTTGATTACAGCGGACTATAAAGTAAAAATATAATGACCTGATATTAACTTTATGCAATTATGCTACATAAAACATACATATACAAAACAAAAACAGTATATGCAGACTATTTGAAACAGCAGATTCCTTCTGTGCCCAGCTAGTGGCACTTCTGGTAGAAGGAATAAAAGTGTTTCCTTGGCTACTGTTCTGAACAAATGAGCTGTGCTGGTATTTAATATGCATTGATGGAGATCTTTTAACAAAGTACCATCTCCAGGTCATTTGTCTCTCGTCTCCTAAAGACAATAACATTTAGATACATCGACCTCAAGTGTCCTGATCAGCTATTGTATAGTTAAATCAGCATAGCAGTCAATAAACAGGAAAAGGCAGGACAAAAGGGTGGGCAAATCAAATATTTGGGAAATGCTCGCAAAAATGGGACGGCTGACAACCCTACATTTATACTTATGCTTAAACAAATCAAGCTAAGGGTTTAATGACTCCTATAATAAATAAAATCTATAATAAATAATAAAAATCCAAGTGTGAGCTGTGCACACACTGTGAATTAGAGCTGATGTGTGATGATGAAAATATAAAACTGCATAAGCCTAAAAAATGAAGTATACTTTGGACTTCATTCAACCTCGACAGATGCCTTTGTTTTTTTTATTTTTAACAAAACACCTAAATCACACCAGCAAAGTAAAACAATGGAATACCTTCATGACTCTGGACCATTCCCTGTAAACCCAACACTTCTCCTCCCACCCACATCCCATCACAGAGGGAAGGCGGAAACCCCTCTGAATCCGATCAGTGGCGGCCCAGGAGTTTGGACAGAAAGCCTGAGGAAGGTTTGCTTGGTTTAGACAGCTCTGCGCGGTTGGCCTTGTCCAGCCCCAGCTCGCCCTCCAGCTGCTCCAGCTCCGATTGGTCCAACAACTCAAAGTCCTCCGCCTCGCTGTCTGACTCCTCGGCCAGAGCCTGGAGCAGCGCAGGTGCCACTGCCGCCTCCAGACGCTCCTGCATGGCTGTGGAGACCGCGGCTGTGATCATGTCTCCGGCCAGCCTCTGCACAGCCTCCAGGGCCTGGACTGCGGGTTCGTCTTCTGACTGCGTGGAGCCCACTCTGCTGGGATGAGCTGGAGGAGTCGGCAGCCCAATGCTCAGGTCTTCATCATCCTCTCCGTTTGTCGCCAAGCCATTGTCCAGAGAGGGGAACTCCGGCAGTCCACCTGTGAAGACCTCCTCGTCGCTTCGCCTGTCTGAGTCTGTATATGAAACATATAAATAAATTCATTAAATATAGTTTGTGGGAAGCTGAAGTTTCTATTAACTATATTTTCTATAGAATCTAATTAAAAATACTTTATTTTTACATATTTCCATGTTTTACTTTCCAAACTATCAGATGGATAACCAAGACTTTTTTTGAATTGATGTGGATTAATTGTTTACTTCAGAGATAGCAGTGTGTGCTAACAATGCTGAATTTAACAAGTAAACTGTGTAAAATTTGATCTTTAATAAGCTATAGAAGCACAATTGAGCTGTATCTGAGATCTATGTACATAATCTATGTACATAATTTGGTCTAATATGCAGTGCCTCAACATATAAATTAATTGAATATCTATAATAAATAACAAACAAAGGCCATCTGTAATTTATAAAAATGACACACTGATGTATGGAGTTTAGGGCCATATATACTTGCCATATACTTTATATATACTATTTAAATAAGTTTTGCAAACAAAAAGTATTGAGCAATAAATAAATAAATGCAAATCTCTCTCTAAAAAAAAGCTGTATATATTTGCAAAACATTTATAGCATTACCTTTGTAAAACCCGCCCAGTAAATTGAAACTGTGAGTTTGTGATGCTGTTTTCACTTTGCTCTTCACATTTCTGCGTATTTCACTTTGTGGCCCTCATTTGACAAGAGGGCGGAGTCAAAACATGTGTATTTACAGTGTTCACGGACCTGCCTCCATTTAAGCGACGTCATCATTTGCTTGCCAACCGACATAAAATTTTGAAAGAAGACTATCAAATTAAACTATCAATTAGACATACTTCTCTAATGTACCTATGCTCAGCCATGCTTCTGCTTCTGCTTTGTCTTCTTTCAAAGTTTCATAGCAGTTGGCAAGCAAATGATGACGTCGCTTAAATGGAGGCAGGTCCGGGCCTGCTGTAAACGCCCAAGTTCCCTGGACTCCACCCCCTTGCCACAAAGTGAAACGCGCAGAAACATGAAGTGCAAAGTAAAAACAGCATCGCAAACTCACGGTTGACTAAAAAGCAAATGAGCATTGCAATTGACTTACGAGATTTGTAAAGGCAATGCTATAAAAATGTTTTGCAAATATATATATATATATATATATATATATATATATATATATATATATATATATATATATATATACACATACATACATACATATATATATATATATATATATATATATATATATATATATATATATATATATACATACACACATATATATATATATAAATATGTGTATAAAACAAGCAAGCCAGTTTGCTTCCAAGGTGAATGATATTTAAATTTACCCTCACACTACACATACTTCCTATTGGTATATTTATTAATTCATTCATTTATTCATTCATTTTCTTTTCGGGTTAGTCCCTTTATTAATCGCCACAGTGGAATGAACCGCCAACTTATCCAGCATGTTTTTACGCAGCGGATGCCCTTCCAATCACAACCCATTTCTGGGAAACATCCATCCACACACACTCATTCACACTCATACACTATGGACAATTTAGCCTACCCAATTCACCTTTACCGCATGTCTTCAGACTGTTGGGGAAACCTATGCGAACGAAGAAAAAACATGCAAACTGCACACAAACACAAACTGACCCAGCCGAGCCTCAAACCAGCGACCTTCTTGATGTGAGGTGACAGCACTACCTACTGTGCCACTGCGTCCTATATGTATATTACTAAGATTTTAAAAAATACCGTCAGAGTTCTCTGTTTGAGGTGTGTGTCCCTCTGAAAGGTTGAAAGTGCCGTTGTCTGTCCACGTGACTTCAGAGACCTCTGTGTCTGATAAGGACAGCTCTTTGCACACAGTGGAGTCCATCTGCAACAGATCGGTTCACAGGAAATGGACATATGAATATTATATCATTAAACCCTTTGTCTTCAGTTGTGTGACAGTGTGCTGACCTTGGGGAAAAGTGCAGACAGATCTGCTTCGATGCACTCTCTCTCGGTTTGTGACTGGAGTATCCTTTTCTCTGCAGAAAGAGAGTAAGTGTGAAGATGTTCATGTTTGCTATGTTCAAGTTGTTTGTAGTAGCACATTGTTAGCTTAGCAACATGTTAATGCTAAACCTAAGACTCAAAGTTGATTCATACATTTGAAGTAATGTATAGTGGGAAAAGATGCTCCCTATAGGTTTATAGGTTACCTTAGGAATTACTTTCCATGCAATATTATTTTAGTATTATTTATATACTTACTTAGTATATATAATAATACTTAAAGGGTTAGTTCACCCAAAACTGAAAATGACCTCATCGTTTACTGAAGATATTTTAAAGAATGCTGGTCGCTGAAACCCATCGACTAACATGGTGGGGGTGGGAGATGGAGGGGATACTATGAAAGTCATTTGGTCCCAGTAACCAGCATTCTTCAAAACATCTTAATTTGTGATTTGTTTTGAACAAGTGAAGGGTGAATAGCTGATGACAGAATTTAGTTTTTTAGGTGAACTGTCCCTTTAAAAATGTACTATTAATAATCAAGTAATTTGATTTAGCTTTATTTTAATCTCAGTTTTAGGTTTATTTTACTGCTTCAATCATTTTATTTCAGATACCTGTATAGTATTTTTGAATTTTGTCTTAAACCTAAATAAATGTATTATGTGTACCCTTATGTTATTCCAAGCTTACATGACTTACGTTCATCTTTTGTTCAAAACTATGTGAAAGTAATCCTGTTGCTACAGTGGATTAATTCCAATTTTATGAAGTGATGCAAAAGCTCTAACATGCATCAATAATTTAAAAATTAACTTTATATATAATAATATCTTTAATCCTTGCATTCTGGAAATGTAAAAAAATTGGCATTAATCATTTAGTAACAGAGTAACACAGACTACTATTATGGGTTTTTTTTCCCTAGTTTTAAAGCTTAAAACATTTGGGTGAATAGAGTATCAATGATTTATAGGGGTTTTAAGTACCAAAAGCTAAAAAGTTGAAAGCTTTCCAAGAACGTTAGGATTAGGAACAGAGTCTGTCCGGTGAGGCATTTGTTTTGGGCTACATAAATCAAAAACAGCACATCCAAGGGAGAAACTATATAAATTTAAAAATGTAAAGTCAATTTTGTATAGTGAGTGTATTTGGGATTTACCGTGATTCTCCTTTATTTTCTGAAAAAACTCGGCCACTCCAAAGTCCAGTTTCTGCAGAACTGGTTCCAACCACATCCCGAACTCATGTGACGACACCAAAGGCCAGAGAAAAATACCCAGCACTGCGGTAAACAGATGTGTAAACTATTAATGTAAGGCTCACACTTACGAACCTGCTGACTGCCAGGAAGAAAAAGAAACCAGAGACTGAGTGTGAATGTGAATGTCGTCACAGTGACATTACTAAGAATCCACTACCACATGACGAATGGGCTGTGCTGGAGGTAAATCCGGAGGGGGTTTGCTCTCCTTGGCCAGTAGCAGCATGGTTACATTCATTTTGGATGTATTTTGAATGTATTTTAAATGAATTCAACTCTGAAATCTGGACTTTACTAGAACTTTTATGTTAAGCGGCTTCGACACAATCTACATTGTAAAGGTGCTTTCTAATTAAACCTAAATTGAATTGAATTTGTAAAGAAATGTCAGTGAAAAAATAAGACAAAATAACTATTATTATCATTATATGTTTAGGATCTTTTTTTGGTACTTACCTAAAATGTATGAAATAACAACCCCTGGTACGTAACGTCCAAGTATTGCTAGAAAAGAGCACATACTGCAAACCAGCAGACAAAACTGCAAATGAGACACAAATTTAAAATGGCTCAGTTCACTGTAAATTAATCACTGTGTGAAATAATAAATACATGCAATGGGAAATACTAAACTTAAATGATTATAAACACAGCTGCTAAAAAGCCTACATTAAAATTACATGGCATACTTGTAATATTTCTCATTAAATTACTATATAAAACATGAACTCATTAACGGCCTCTAATTGAAATACTCATTGGAAAACTATGGAGTGCAACTGGGGGTTATTACAGGACACTTAAATGTTTATGACTTTGTCATATTTTTATTTTATTTAAAAATTATATTTTTATAAATTTTGATGAAGTTACACATAGGGTTCAACATTAAAACTATACAAATCTTTAAAATAATTAATAATGGTTAGAAATTATTTATAAAATTTAATAAAAAATAGAAATATACCATTAATTACTTTATTATGTTGTCCTTACATTTATTTGTCTTATTATTCTTTTATTTTTCATATTTGTATTTTCTTATTACACAATCATTTATGTGTTATTATTGTTTATGATTTGGTTTTGTGATTCATTTTTGGACTATGTTGCAATGTCTTTAAAATTAGCTTTTAATTGGTTGTATTTTTGAAAGCACATTGTACATTCATCTTGAAAATTTTGAATAAACACGACACAAAAAAAACATGAATTACTGCAAGAATTACACTGCAAAGTGATTACATGTAAAATAGTGAAGGCAAAATGATGATTACAAATAATTAAAAAATTGTAAAAGAAATGAGGACTTGTTAGGTATGTAGTTCTCCTTCTACAGTTTTAATACAATTTTTAAGTTGATGTAAAAAAGAAGACATGTTAGGAATCATCTACTCAAATCTATCCATACCTTGCCTGGATTCTGCTGTTTAAAAGAGGATGTCTCCTCAATGAACAACTTGAGACTCGTCCAGAAGTCTGTGAATGGAGATCCTGATGCAGACTTGCCCTCCTGGACAGAATCAATGATCTCCCAGCTACAGTTAAAAAGATCAATCGTTAGTCTGACCCTGTCAGAAAAATGTGTTCACTACACTTCTTTAACTATCACTTTAAACTCATGCACTGCCATATTGTAGTGTATTATATTAACCTTTTGGATGATTTGCCTGTGTTGTCAGTTAAACATGTTCAGCACATAACCAGTTCAGTAAATTACCAGAAATGAAACCACATTCAACAACCAAAATAACGCCTAAAAAATTTAGGTAGTGCATTAAAAAAATTATAAATCTATAATGCACACAAAATTTGAAAAGTTATTAATGAAACAGGTCAAATTGTATATTTTGTGGCTCATGCATGCATGGGGCATGAAACCACAGGGAACACTGCATTGTTTTACTCAACATAATTTATCAATCTTACTAAAAATGCAAATACAAACAAACTGACTAAACATATTAAGGTAAACTATGTATTACTAAAACAATGTAGTTGGAAACTGATGAACTGATTAAAATAAGTTACAGTAACATAAACATTTGTTGTCATGAATTTTACTCATATTTGTGTATTCCTCTGAAATCAGAAACTAGCACATTCAAAAAGCATGTGTGATGAGAGAGTGAGGACTACAGAAATGTTTAGATGGATTCTTCTAACTTGGAGTATAACTATGGGTCCATGACATAACTGAAATGGAGCCAACCTGAAAAAACACTTGATTTAACCCTTTAAACCATGTCTAAAGTGATCCTCCTGCTTGTTAATTTTTTTAAGTTAGACATCAATGTTCTTAGTAATAATCAATCAATTCATTATAAACAATATAACAAACACTGTTTTCTATTTGAGTCGAAGTTTCATTCATTCATTTTCTTTTCGGCTTACTCCCTTTATTAATCCATGGCCACCACAGTGGAATGAACCACCAACTTATCCAGCATATGTTTTTTACGCAGAGAATGCCCTCTCCACCTGCAACCCATCTCTGGGAAACATCCATACACACTCATTCACACTTATACACTACGGACAATTTAGCTTACCCAATTCACCTGTACCGCATGTCTTTGGACTGTGGGGGAAACCAGAGCACCCGGAGGAAACCCACTCGAACGCAGGGAGAACATGCAAACTCCACACAGAAACGCCAACTGACCCAGCCGAGGCTCGAACCAGCGACCTTCTTGTTGTGAGGCGTCAGCACTACCTACTGCGCCACTGCATCGCCCTGAGTGTAACTTGCTATATGAATTTATGTGGCAGAATGCATTTCCTGTTTAAAAACAAATAGGTGTACCTGTCACTTGAAGTTGAATATATAGATTCAAAGCGATCTAAATAGATTTTGAAGATGCTAGAAACAATAGTTACTTATGATACTTATGTCATCTCAGATTGGACTTTTCATTTTTTCAAAAGACAACGAGTAGTTATCTATAATGTATACAGTTAAACAATTATTTAACCCTTATAATTTACCCCTTTGATTTTTCCTTTTTATATATTTCCCAAATTATGTTTAACAGAGCAAGGAACCTAACCTACCTAGTTAACCTAATTAATCTTAGTTAAGCCTTTAAATGTCACTGTAAGCGGTATAGAAGTGTCTTGAAAAATATCTTGTCAAATATTATTTACTGTCATCATGGTGAAGATAAAATAAATCAATAATAAAGTTACTAGAAATTAGTTAATAAAACTATTATGGGTAGAAATGTGTAGAAAAAATCTTTCTGTTAAACAGAAATTGGGTAAAAAATTAACATACAATATACAATATACAATATACACACACACACACACACACACACACACACACACATATATATATATATATATATATATATATATATATACTTTGAAATCTTAAACATGGTAGCTAATAATAATACCCACTAAAATGTCAGGCATATATTTTTTTGGTCAAACATTTGCCTTGCAATGAATTAGTGTGACTTTTAGAATGGGGCATCTGAGAATTTCTTGGCACAAGATAAGCATCTATTAACAGGCAGCCTGTTAATGCCCTTTATCTCTGGTTATGCGTCCCTACTCCAGTCCCCGCACAGCTGTCGCCCTATATTTCCCATCACTAAAACAAACCAAACAAAGCCACCTATGCATCGAAAACTTCTTGAAGTCCATCATAAAAACAGATCAGCTCCAAACCTAAGCAGAAAAACATGCTAGACATAGCCCAAGCAATTAGGCTCTCTCCAACAGATCAGCTCGAGCTGCATTTCCTCTCAAAGGTCATAAACCAGTCACCTCCAGCATTGCAGAGACATGTTTCCCCACCGGAGGTTTCCTATTAAACAGAGCGCATGGGGTGCATGTGACTATGAGGCAACAGAGCTCACATTAGCATTTCACCATCGACCATGTGGCAGATACAAGCGAATGTGCCAGAGAAAGTGAGCTCAGGCTTACCCAACCCGGAGCAGAGCCGATGACTGGAGATCAATGAGGTGTAATACTCGCATGGCACTTGTGAGAAGAGATTTCATCAGATCACATCTTTAGTTTCGTCTTTTGGGAAATCTGTTTGTTGACAATAGTGCCATGTGGTGTTTGATAGTTAACGCTATTTGAAATCTTACTGCGTGGGACGTTTGCCCAAATTAAATAAATATTAGAAATATTAAATATTGAATGAGGAATTTGTATAACTAATTGAAAAGAAAGATTGAAATGTCTAAAAACTAAAGCAGTTACAAAAATGTACATGTGAACATGCTGCCTGCAGGGGAAACATAGCAAACATATCTGACTGTCTAAACTTGTCAAAGATTTAATAAACAGCTTAGTCATTCCTTACACAAATTGGATAAAAAGGTAGTAAAATCTGTGATTGATTAACATTCGTATAACTAAATGTTTACCATTAAAGGTATTGTTAAAAACATACTATTATGTGATTCCAAAGGTTTTTTCAGATCATGTTATTGTTGAACACAAAATAGGTATTTTGAAGAATGCTGGTAGCCAATAAACATAAATGTTTAATATACAAGCATCCTTTAAAATATTTTAAAGAAAAAAACTCACGTTTAAAACAAAGGGGGTTTTGTGTAAATTAACTCTTTAAATATGGTTAGTGAACCAAAACCATGTTTTATGTGATTTCTAACCACTTTGTTGTTGTTATAGTAAAATCACAATTAACTTTTCTAAAACATACTATGAAGAAAATCAACTGGGAGTTTGAATAAATATGATTTAGTGACTTATCATGCAGTGCTATTAGTGTAAATATGTTCCTTCATATTACTAGAAAACCAAAATACAAAAATAAAATTAAAGTTTGCCACCTCAAGCAGGTTTTAAAACTTTTAAAACCAAAGGAAATGTGCAGAAATTCCTTTAATGTCTCAGTAAATGCCAATAACAGGTGAGTCTAGACTCAAAAACCAAACCGCTCGACTAGCTGACTCCCATGCTAATCGCTAAAACAACACAGAAAGCTACTTGTCTGACACTCAAACAGGCCCAGTGACAGGGCACTAAAATAGCCCAAAACAAACAGCTGACAAATGGCTGTGAACATCCACAGCATCACTTCATTTTCAAAATAGGGTCAAAGAAAAAAATAGCTAAATAGACAGCAGATGGCATTTTTAGCATTTAGCTGAAAGCAGTATTTTGACTGCTCTTAGCCTGTTGGTGGTTTTGGCCACTTAAAACTCATCAGTCTTGACTGACAGGTTGGTCCCACTGCTGTGTGGCTTATGTGTAAGTATCAGTAGTACCTAAAAAGTCCTTGAAACACTTAACATCAAATTCCATCTCACAAATGTTCCAAAGCAAGCCCCAACATAAAAACAACTTGACCCAGGATGCATCTGATATGATGACTGACATTTCTAGTAATTCAGAGCAAGCCTATGTCTCAAATATTACACATAGCCAATTAAGACTTACAATTTACAAACCATGGATGCTATTGACTCATTAGTATTCACAAATAATTATTTTTTACCTCACCGCTGATCCATGGTCTTCAGCAGTCATCTCAAAAACTCTAGGTTTCAGCATGAAAAGTGTTCAGAAGGTGAGAGCGTCAGTGATAAGTTCCAGAGTCACAAATAAAGTGTCGCATGAAGCCACACCAACTAGTGTTTATGTTGATCAAGGCCTGAGCTTCACTATTTCAACCGGTCAGGTCTAAAAATACCATGAGTCACATAGCATTCCAGAGGCAGGCATCAGACAGACAGTGCTGGGGCATGAACACACACACGTACAAACACTCCATATAATACCCCCTTAATACCCCCTTTCACAGAAAGAGACCCTCTTAGAAGAGTATTTCAAATGGCACAAATTTCTCACTGAAAAATGATCAGTTCATCTTTTTTTGACTGGAATGCAATTTCCTGATGTCACAACAACAAAATATAGTTTTTGCTTCTTTCCCTAAAATTCCATCTAATTGATTTATGATTATCACACGTTTTTGATTATTGTAACAAAATTGACTAACTATTAAAACTAAATAAAAAATGTCATTATCAATTTAAAACAAATAAATGAAACTACACTACAGCTTCTCAGAAAAAGAATATTTTTCATAAATCACATTTAAGAACTGACATTGCTTTTTCCTTATTACACATTTTAATGGTATAAAACTCTAGTTTAATAATTAAATATTTTCTACAATATATAGTAGACAACATTCGAAGTGGATCAAAAACGTTTTTCAAAATTGTCCTAAAACAAGAACTGGTGTTGCTCATTAGATTTAGGACTTTGATTAAAGATGATGAACCAGTTCAAATGTTGACTACTGTACATGTTTGTACATTGGTAAAAAAAAAATAATATTAATATTATTAATATTAATAATATTAATATTCCCCAATATTTTTTGTCAGTGGGGTTAAAAACTGTAAAAATGTACCCAGTAAACAGTAAAATATTTCTGTGTTATTTACATCACTTTATTATTTATATAAAACCATAATTATTATTATTATTATTATTATTATTATTATTATTTAGTCATTTGACTGTGACGAAAGAACCG